ACCTCAGGAAGATGGCTGAGAAATCCTTTAATAAGGCAAGAACCACAAAACTCAAAGAGGACTGGGAATCCAAAAAATTCCTTAGACAAAAACAGAGAGATGCATGGAGATACTACTGCGAAGAAATCGAAGATTTCCCGCAGGCAGCGAGGCTTCAAAAAGCTCTCTTAAAATATCCACACCGAGGCATTGGTGCGCTTATCAAAGAGGATGCCACGAAAACTGCCAACCTCGAAGATAGCATCAAGCTTCTGCTGTCAACACACTTCCCTGACTCGGTCATCTCAGACGTGTCCAACTGGGCAGAGGAACAATACAAACCATCTGTCTATGATTGGCTAACTGCCACACACATTATAGACGATGAAAAAATTAGATGGGCAATATACAGCTTCTCTACATTTAAATCGCCAGGACCTGACGGTATCCATCCAGCCCTACTTCAGTGGGGTCTGGAAGAACACACCGCACTTGGTGGGTATATCCAGATCCTCGTTAGCTCTGAGGCATATCCCCAAAAAATGGACAGAGGTAAAAGTGGTATTCATACCCAAACCTGGAAGGATAGATTACACTGTCCCAAAAACATACCGACCAATTAGTTTGACATCGTTTTCCATGAAGACATTGGAAAGGCTATGCGAATGGTACATAAGGGATGCGGTAATTACAACACCACTACACCCAAACCAACATACATATTATGGGAACTTTTAATTGTGTAGATCCCATCATAAATTATTTGTAGATAAATGTAAAATTATTTATTGTAGATAAAAATGGATGACATGTCATGTATAGTAAAAATATAAAAAGTCATAATGATAATCAATAAATATTCGATGGTGGCGTATCGTGGCAACGGGCGTTGCCAAGGAAGTGAATTTAACCTTTCATTACCAAAGCTACCACATAATGAAAGGTACTTGAAAAAGGTGATGAGTTTGTACTTATGAAGTTAGTTAAGGTAGGAAGGTATGTAGTGCAACTGAGGCACTACACATATACCCCAGGCAGATCCATTGATTCAGCCCTTCATCTAGTTTCTGGCCGGATAGAAAGATCCCTGGACGAAGTCCGCCTTGGGTGTTTTCATAGACATAGAAGGTGCTTTTGATAAAACCACCTTCCCCAAGATAAAACACTCATTAACCAACAGGAATGTTCCACAGATGGTTAGTGGGTGGATATATAACATGCTCTCAAAGCGAGTAGTAAACATAAGTGTAGAAGAAGTGTATTCAGTAAACCTCTGTATACCATTTTTAATCTCATTCTCAAACTTAAGAAGTTTCCTGATTGTTGGAAGGTTTCTAGAATTTGTCCAATATTTAAAAAAGGCACAAAAAATGACATAAGTAATTATCGTCCAGTAGCTAATCTAAGCAATTTCGCAAAAGTATTCGAATTAGTAATCCATAATCACCTTGCATTTCATGCCAGTAATATTATCATACCCGAACAACATGGCTTCACATCTGGTAGGTCCACAGTGACTAATCTATTCTGCGTGACCCAATTCATTTGTGAAACGCTGGAGAAGAAAAGTCAAGTTGATATTATCTACACTGACTTTTCTAAAGCATTTGATAAGATTGATCATGGCCTACTTTTACATAAGCTTAAGTTATTCGGAATAGATAATAGGTTAATTGCTGTATTTAAATCTTATCTTTATGAACGCACTCAATACTTTCAAACTTTAGGATATAAATCTCAACCTTTTCTTCAAACTTCCGGTGTCCCACAGGGGTCTATATTGGGTCCGTTACTTTGTAATATTTTTATAAATGATATAACCGAAGATCTTGATATTGATAAAGATATATATATGCTGATGATATTAAACTATTCTGTGAGATAAACTCCGTCAATGACTGCTTGAACCTCCAGCGAAACCTTAATCATGTTAATAATTGGTGTATCAGAAATAAGCTCCCTATGAATCCAAGTAAATGTAACGTAATGTCTTTCTGTAGGAAAGAATCAACTATCCAATTTAATTACAATTTAAGTAATATTATCCTCGACAGACCAGATATCCTAAAAGATCTAGGTGTTTATTTTGATCCAAAGTTATCTTTTATTCCTAATATACAAAAAACAATCTCTTCAGCATATCGGTCGCTGGGTTTTATTCTTAGAAATGCGAAATGTTTTAATAATATTAATACATTGAATCTTTTGTTTTCGGCTTTTGTAAGATCGCAACTAGAATATGCTTGTGTTATTTGGAGCCCGAATTATAATATTCATATTTCCGCTTTGGAGCGAGTGCAAAGAAGATACTTTAAGTCGGCTTCTTATATCTTGGACGGTCTTTATCCCGCTAGAGGCACACCTCAAGAATACTTTTATATTCGTTTTGATAGCTGTAGTTTAATTCGTCGTCGGTCAATGCATTCAATTATGTTTTTATATAAAATTGTTAACTATATTTTTAAATGTGATAATATTGTATCGTCACTAAATTTCAGAGTTCCTAGACCAAATTCTAGAACCAACAGTCTTTTTTATGAATTACCACATAAGACAAATATTTACAAATTTTCTCCGTTGAATCAGCTCATCATTGACTACTCTTCAATTGAACCTAGTATTGATATTTTTTGCACAAAAGCTGCTGAAATTAAAAAAAGCCATTCTTCGGGGTAATTTGTAGGAAGGACGGATGTCCAGAATTTGGTCAATAATTTTATATGTACCCATGTGTGTAATCTTAGAACATAGCTGCATATGAGTGCTTACTTTTTTTCCCTAAAGGGTTTTTTCCAGTGAGCATTCATATATAGCTTAACAGATATACTGCTTTGTATTATTATTTTTTTCTGTATTTTGCTGTGTTTGTCCTTATCCTGTAATTGGGCTTTCCCGAGGATATTGTAATAAATAAATAAGATATGAATATAAGAGGCTATCACTGTGGTGAACATGGTCCTCGATACCCTCATCAGCCGCCTCAATAATGAGTCACTACACCTGGTCATTATACAAACATGGAATTTTGAGAACATATTCTGCGAAAAAAGGGAAGTAGCTCTCAAAATTATAGAACAGTGGTGTAAGGACCATTCACTATCTGATCCTAAGACTTAAATGGTCATTTTCACAAGGAAAAGGATGAAAATGGAATTAAAACCTCCAGAACTCTCCAAACACAAAACTAAACTTTACAACAGAGGTGAAGTACTTAGGTTCACCTTTGACAGCAAGTTAACATGGAACTCGCATTTAGAAAATAGAGTCAAAAAAGCATACATTGCTTATGAACAATGCCGCCAAACTGTGGAGCGTACTTGGTCGTACCAGAGTCGTCGCATGGACTTATACTGCTATCATACGGTGCAGTTGTCTGGGTACCGATAACCCAAAAATTGGCAGCTATCCGTAAACTAGAACAAATTCAAAGAACAACATGTCTCAACATAACAGGGGCCATGAAAACAACACCTACCAGAGCCATGGAAGTCATTCTTGTCTCACTCCCCTTGATATTTACATCAAGGAGGTTGCTCTGACGACAATGACACGCCTCCGCACGGTTGGAATAGAACCTAATGTAGGATCCGGTGAGGCAAGACGTGGCTTTTGGAAGGAGGCGCTCGATACGCTCCCACTGTTTCAAGAGAACATCGACTCCATCTCACTATTATCTTCCATAAGCCATGTAAAATTGTAACAGAACAAATAGAAGAGCCGGAAATGGCAGGAACGATTCATATCTACACAGAAGGTTCTAAAACAAAACAAGGCTCAGGATGTGGAATATACTCCAGATCCTTAAACCTTAACATAAAATGGGCTGTGAGCAATAGTGCCAGTGTAGTTCAAACAGAGCTCACGGGTACTCTCATAGCAGCAAAAGAAATCACCAGAAACAATATTATTGGGAGTAACATACTTATCTGTACAGATAGCAACAAGCACTACGCACCCTGAACAGATCACGAATGTATTCAGGCTTAGTACTAGAATGTCACGAAGTGTTACCCGAAGTATTCATCAACAACGTGGTCACCTTAAGATGGATCAAAGATCACGCCACATCGAAAGGTAACCCGTCTTGCTAATTCACTAGCCAAGAAAGCAACCAACCAAATAATTTTTGGATCTGGCCCTTCTATTGGCCTTCTATTGGTAGTGACAGACCTAATTAAAGAATATTCCCTTGTGAAATTCAAGGAAAGATGGGATGAAACAAGAAACTGCAGAGTTGCCAGGGAGCTTTTAAGCTATCCTGACAACACTGCAGCAAACAAATACTTGACTATGACTAGACAGAATCTGCGCCTAGTTACAGGCATTCTGACTGGTCATTGCCAAGTACGGAAGCATCTCCATATCATGAGGCTGTCAGAATCCGCACTCTGTAGAGGGAGCGAACAAGAAAATGGGACCATCGATCATATCCTCTACGATTGCTCGATGCTCTCATTTATTGAATTTATTGAATTGTGCAATTACATTACTTTCCTCTGTAATTGGTAATAGCAAGCACTTATATAATTTCTAAAGTGCTTGATGCTGGCAATTACTTTTCTAAAGGGCTTGATTCTTGATGTTCAAAGTACTTTTTTCGAGTGCTTTGCCCAGCTCTGCTTTATACCAATCCGATACTTTTACATTTTAGAATATTTATCATCATAAACAGTTTTAATTTTCTTGTTAAAGCTTATTCATTTTCAAGAAAGTGAGTTATTTTGCATATACGGATATGGATATTTTTAGTTTATTCTGCGTAATGTTACGTCAGTGTATTAAATGAAAGTAGATTTTTGGGATAGACCAACCAAAATTAAAATTACTAAGTTCACTAACAAAATCGATTTTTAAATAGCCAACCTTCCTTTCTTCAATATACATTTTTAAATGTATGTATTGATTTTAAAACCAAAAAAGGTTTATTTTTATGTACACAATTTTAACACTTGCTACGATTACAAAAAATGTTACCTTATATCTCAAAATTAGAAAAATAATTGTTCATTATTGAAACTTACTGCATTTCCATTGGAAGTAGGTTGCCTGTACTCGGGACTATGGCTAGAAGGAACATGCTGGCTATCATCACGATGGGCCACTTGAGCGGCATAATGAGCAACCATTTGCAGATCTGCTTGAACATTTCGTTTTCCATGGTTGACGCTATGCGATCCACCATGTCCACCTAAAAATAAAGAAAAAGTATTAAAATTTGAAAAGTATGTTGAATGTTGAACTATGTGTGGTTCAAGCAATATCTTTGAAAAAATTCACACGTTATACATAATTTGTGTTTTAACAAAACTGGGTCGGGTGGCACAAAATTGATCGAAAAACATTTGATCGAATTGGAAATTTGATCGAAAATACATTTTATCGAATGGAATTTGATCGAAAATACATTTGATCGAAGATATATTTTATCGAAAAGACAATAAATCGAAAAGTCATTAGATCGAAAGGACAATATATCGAAAATCAACAATAGAAATAGTAAAATATAAAAAAATCAAAAGACACGATGCAAGCGTCCGTTTAATTCCGACTACCGGGGAAACTAAATTTAGCGGCTCTCAAAATTAGATACTAATGGCAAATGTTTCGATAATCTCAAACGATATCTACTTGTTTAACAAATTTTATCATTACAATACTGTTAATTTAAAAATTAATATTTTAGAGCTAAATGGTTATTTTCTTCATTGAGATTAAATAATTGTGATTAATTCGCACAAAATATGTATTTCAATAAGGTCGAGTTGTCTGCCGATAGGTAAATTATTTTAAGTTTTTTATTATATAAAAAAAATTTAATTAATTTACCTAACCTGTGCGGCCTGGAGCAGTCGCGGTTTGTCTCGCAAAAAAATGACAGTAAATTAAGAAAAATAAAAAATAACTAATTTACCTAACCTGTGCGGCTTGGAGCCATAGAGGGTTGCTTCGCAAAACAAATTATACAAAGAAGAAAAATAAAAAACTTAACTTATTTACGTAACCTGTGAGGGCTAGAACAATTTAATTTTAACTGATGGCTCTCGCACAGGTTAGGTAATTTGGTTAAGTTTTTTTTTATTAAAAACTTAACTAACTTACGTAACCTGTGCGGACTGGAGCCATCGCGGTTTGCCTCGCAAAAGAAATTATAAAAAATGTGAAAAATAAAAAACTTAGCTAATTTACCTAACCTGTGCTATTTTAATTTAACTGATTGCTGTCGCACAAGTTAGGTAAGTTAGGTACGTTAGTTAAGTTTTTTATTTTTTCATTTTTTGTATGTTTGTTTTTTCGAAGCAACCAGCGATGATTCTAGACCATTCTGGTTAGGTAAATTAGTTGAGTTTCTTTATTTTTTTTAATTTTATGTATATATTTTTCGATCAATGGTTTTTCTATCAAATCTATTTTCGATCAGTGTTCTTTTTCATCATTTTTCTTTTCGATCATTTTTCTTTTCGAACAATTTGTATTTAATAAAATATATTTTTTTAATCAAACGCATTCGATCAAATGAATTCGATCAAATGTATTCGATCAAATCTTTTAGATCAAATGCTTTCGATCAATTTTGTGCCACCCAACTGGGTCGACTGGGTGAATAAATTTCTTTAATCACAGGTGGTTTACGATAGCTTTTTTTAATTTGTCGGTTTTGAGATACATATTAAAAATCTGATGTGTCCAACACATGACTTTCCTATCTAGTTATTACAGGCTTTTTCCGTTTATTGTGTACAACCTATTGCAGCATCTCTATAAATGTTTGGAGGATAAACTAAATATATACATTGTCCACATACATCTACCGCGAAACATTTTTCTATAGATATTCATTGAAAATGAAAATACTAAAAAATTTAAATTTAGCACTTTTCCTACAATTTTTCCATTACGGTCCATTTAAAAAAAATAATGTATGAACAAATATTATAGAGATCGATATCGCAAACAACTTTTATTTCAACAATTTTCATAAAAATCAGAATTTTGCACATGTTGTCAAATTTCTCGAATACGGACCATTTCAGGAAATTTTTACATAAAGCAAAAATTATAGATAATAATATTAGAAGTAACTTTTATTTGAACAATTTTCTTCTCCAAACATAAATAACAGATATATTCCATAAAATATAAAAACGGCCTCCCATAAAGTACCCCCCCAGATGTTCCGACTTTGTCCAAAATCTAATCATTTCACGTCAGGCCGAAATAAAACTTAAGTTTAAAATTTATTGATTTTTTCTTTATCCGTTTTTGAGTTTTCTTCAAATTTCGAAATTTACACATTTTCTCAAATATCTCGAATACGGACCATTTTAGGAAAATTTTGTAAATAACAAAAATTATAGATAATAAAATAAGAAGTAACTTTTATTTAAAAAATTTTCTTGCCAAAACGTAAATAACAGATATATTCCATAAAATATAAAAATGACCACCTATAAAGTACCCCCCCAGATGTTCCGACTCTGCCCAAAATCTAATCAGCTCATTAGACGCTAGAATAAAGCTTAAGTTTGAAATTTGGTGTTTTTCCGTGTATCGGTTCATGAGTTATGCGTTATACACACACACACACACACACACACACACACACACACACACACACACACACGCACACGCACACACGCACACACGCACACGCGCACACGCGCACACGCGCACACGCACACACCCACACG